GTTAAATAATACAAATAACAGATTTGAGCTGCAAATGATCAGACTATTAAATGTAAAAATTAAAAGTTGTCAAATATGTGGAACGGCTGTAACTACTTTTATCATCAAATTACAAAATAATAATAAAGACAATGATATTGGCCTTGAAAGTACATTGTAAAGAGTAGCCAATCAAAAAATTATTTAAAATACACTTTATTTGTGTGTATATTTATGATTACAATTTTAATTCCAGGTGCAATTAATTGTGATTGACTGAACAAACATGATTAATTACAAAAAAAAACAATTAATTTAATTTAAACAAATAAATAAATTCACAGACCCAATTTGATCATTTAATTTCAAGTATTTTGGATCTTCCAAAACGTAACTCAAATGCTATCGCAGCAATTACCCTATATTTTTTTTCTCATTAGAGATGTTTTACTTGAACGTGTCACAATAAGAAAGAAAAGACTGTAACTTCCGTTTCATGCTCACTTCAATAATAAAAAAAAAAAAGTAACCTTTTTATTTTTTTACTTTGAGCCAGTAAAAATAGCCAAGAAAAGAAAACTAAATTGAACTAAAAATCCTCATCATTGAACCTCGACATAACTGAAGGTACTTACCAATACTGGCATCCCTGCAGCTTAAAGGCCTCTCTGGTGGTCTCCCTCTATGAAGGGCTGCAAACGTGGAGGCTTTCCATCTGCTATTGCCGCAGTCTAGAGAAGTAGAGAGAAGGCAGACGGTGGTGACATTAAGACTTGGATAAATGATAAACACACCAAGGCAAAAGGGGTTGAAAGCTCACCTTTCGACGTTCGCAGTAAAGAGTGTTTCCCGGCCCCGAGTAGAGAGTGGACTCCTGGCACACCAGACGGAACCTCTCGGTCCAGAATCGGACCGATCTGCTTGCATATCTGCAACAGGTGGTCTGGTGCAATATGTCTGTTGGCATATACCTAACAAAGAATAAGGGATCCTTTACTTTCATTATGTCATGCATTACCGAAAGTTATAATAATAA